ATTTCATTCTAGTTGCTTGGTTCATATTCATTACTTACCTATTTTTGCTATACATTTTCTGTTTCAACTGTTTCGAATATTTTTGGTCCGAAAATTTCTGAAATTTTCAATAATTTTAACATTTCACTCATTTGATCTTCCATAAATTTGAAGTATATTAACAACTTTTTTGGACAATGAACGTTAAAACTCATTCAGTGAAACTCATTTCGAAAACTTCCCCACGATAAAGTCAACAAATAGTTTTTTCTGAAAAGAATATTGGTGAAAGATCCGAATGATCTTTTTATTTCTTGAATAAAATGATTCACTTTCTAATAACATTTCCAGACCTGAGCTCTACGGGGTACATTTAAAATCTATCAATATATACAGCATGCCAACTAATATTTTAACAACCATCATACAATAGGAAATTGGGGTGAGTTATCTAGAACACGTTAAATAAATGTGTTTTCAGTCACATCATTTGTCTATGGGGTCTGCTTCATTTTTCAGCTGTCTATACCGTTCAGATATGCTACACAAAAAGGGTTGCTAGAGATTTGGGGATGACAGAAGGCTAGATTGCTAGTCTAAATATATGTGATATATCGTCATTTCATTATAATCACTGTCAGTCACAGAAGTTCCTATGTAAGTTAATGTTGTTTAATGGATATCATGAACTTTTCCATTCATTGAAATTTTCAATGTTGCATCAACTCGGGAGATTTTTTCAATTTACAAAAACAATCGTTCAAAGGCAGTGAAACCTCTTAAAATAATTGTCATCCAGTAAAAAATTCCACTCTAAAATGTTTTAAATACGACCCTGAACTTGAAAAAATCAGGTAAATATTCGATTTCGGGGATAATAAATAGGTACATAGAACGAAATTACTTTCAACAATGATAATAATATTATATATATCCATATATAACATGGACCAGGTCTACCCAAATTCACGATGCGATAACGTCAGTTATAGGACACTGTCGTATTTGGGTGAAACCACCATTAATATTGCTCGTTTTCTGAAGAAAAAATGCGTAAACGTAACTTACAGAACGAATAAAAGTCCAAGTAAATTCATTGAGAACAATAAAGACAAAACTTCGTTGTCGGATAGACCAGAAGTATATAAGCTGACTTGTAGCTCTTGCCCAAAACTGTATATTGGTCAAACAGGGAGAACATTTTGCCAAAGAATTGAAGCACATAGAAGAAGTTTTGTAAGTAGAAAGACGAATTTCACATTTGCAAACCATTTTTCAGCATAAAGACATGAGTTCAATGATGATTACGACGTGTTACATCTAGAAGAGAAAAGTTTGAAACTCAATCTTCTAGAATGTTTATAAATCAATAGATTCAAGAATTCGGGTAATTTACTGAATAATCAATTAGAATTGAATAACTACCCGCTACTGAATAGTTTTTCAAATGTGCAAACTGGGACATAAGCTCAGGTAATTTAATTCATCACAGACACAGGTAAAACCCAGGCACTTGAAATTTGAGTACTTTGTAGACAAAATATATGAATACGACAAGTTACTGACTAATTGGACTCACCAGTAGTTTATATCACGCAGTAACTTTTCGGTGTGAACATTTCGGTTTGCCCTTTGACTATACTTCAGCAGATTCTCTATTGATTTATCTTTTTTTTTAGATTTTGGAAGGTTAAAAACCCCAAAAAAATAGTATAAGACTTATTGTTCCATAAGTCACTTCTAGTACTTCTTTGAGCAGGCGTCAGCAAAAACAACTGAATATATTGTATTATTTGTAGTTGTTTTATAATCTTTGAACAGTTGCGGTTAACCATAATCGATCGAGAAAATGAGTGGTCTGAGGTTAATACCAAACTCGTCTTCTGCCGAGAATAATTCAAGTAACCACATAAACTCGAAGAATCGTTGTATTAGTCCACGGTAGTGGCTTATTTTTTGTCGGCCCTGGGTGACATACCTTTGGCGGAGGAATTTTGAGATAAGGGGTTAACGTATGGCCAAGACAGCGACTATAGATAACAAAGAATTGTGATCGCCGTTCTCACGCTCTCGACTACTTATTCCTGGTTCGTCATTTTTGGAATTGTGCTTTTTGCAATTAAGATTTAGATAGTGTTAAACCTCTACATTCCATACCATAAAGGTTTCAATTCCGCTCCTCCCGTTTATTCATAGCTTTTTGTTGTTGAAGACAGGATATCGGGAAAATCTTTTTGGTCATTCCTTCCTATACCTACAGGGTGATCAACGGTATAGTGACATTTCTCCAGAATATGAGAGGTGACTTTGGGCTGGTTTGAAAAAGAATATCATAAAAGAGGTTGAATTTGAAAATGAGCCACACAGGAAACATTAGTTTGATTTCTAACGGAGTGTTGACAACGAGATGCTTGTGACTTTCTTTTTGTTGTTGAAGACAGGATATCGGGAAAATCTTTTTGGTCATTCCTTCCTATACCTACAGGGTGATCAACGGTATAGTGACATTTCTCCAGAAAATGAGAGGTGAATTCATCGAAATTGATAAATTATTATATTGTAACTATTTTCATTGAAATCTACATATTAGTTATTAGTGAATAATTGATCGTCCATTTTCAGGTTTTTTATTATCTTTCACAATCTGAAAGAGCTGAAAGCTGAAAGAGCAGACTTTTCAGTTCACCCCTGTGTAATACAGAAATTAGAAGTTTTTTTCCTCAAAAATAAAGTTTTGTTCACCAGTAACTTGTATTTAATAAAGTTTACTATAAAAAAGATATACAGATGCCTTACGTTTCGTAGGCTAAAACCTGCCTCCGTCTTCAGATTTGAAAAAAAACATTCGAGAAACATGGAAAGGCAAGAGCTGCTGAGCTTGATATTTCTTAGACCTTTGCCCGTGTGTGGCATGTGGTATGAAGGTTTGCTGGCCAAACTTCGATGATATGGTTTGTCGGATCATTTTTGTCTTTGGCTCTCCAGCTTCCTGAAGCAGGAGGTTGCATATCTTAATGAGGATCTAGAGGTGATTTCTAATTGGGAAAGTGAACAGGTTCAATTTAAGGCCACAAAAACCCAAGCATCGGTTTTATCCAAAAAGATAAATGTCTCCATACCGGATATGATAATGTCAGGACAGATAATTCTCCTTTCTGCTTTGATAGGTTTCTTGGGGGTTAAAATGAATACCACTGAGTCTTGTCAGAATCATGTAGTTGGAATTGCAAAAGCTGCTTCTCAAAAGTTTGGGATACTGTTTCGAACCAGAAAACTGTACACACCTCAGCGACTTTTGATGCTTTATAAAGCTCAGATCAGACCTTCTTTGGGGTATTGTTTTCATGTATGGAGCTCCGCCCCGAAACATACCCTGAAGCTGCTGGATTACATCCAGAAAAGAGCCATCCGCCTGATTGGAGACGCGAACATCACTTGCAATCTTGATAGTCTGGAACATCGAAGAAAGGTTGGGGATTTTTCTTTCTTCTATAGATATTTTCACGTGAAGTATTCAAATGACTTGACACATTTGATCCTACCGGCAGCAGTACATATCAGAAATTCGCGACGGGCTGTGGCTGCTCATAGTTTCGAGGTTCAACTTAGTACACCTCGAACTTCACTGTTTAAAAACTCTTTCATTTTGAGAACTAGTTTATGATGAATAAACTTCATGAGAACGTTTTTGCAAATGAATTCAATCTCAACCAATTCGAATCCAATGTGAATCGGTACTTTCGCACAGACACCGCTCTTAGAGCGTCTTCAATTTTTTTCTCAGGTTTTCCTTTGGCGGATCTCCTCTTATTTCCTAATTGAATCCTGTCATTTTTCTGAATAGTCCAAGGTACCAGTTGAACTGATGAAGATACTGTGTAGTGAAAAAACAGGTTCTGAAAAAATTTCATATCAAGAATATTGTTCAATTATTATTACGGATAGTACAGAATATTACTGGAGTTTTTTCCCAACACCAAATCGTTATTTTTAACACCTCGACACGTGTTTCGATCACCAAGTGATCATCTTCAAAGAGGAAGATGATCTAGTAATATTCATTACTACACCAAAGGTTCCAAACAGTGCATCATAAATGGAAAGTACACTTGATATCCGTTTGGAGTGGAATAAAAGTGGTAATAAGGGCTGTAAATTCATAAATATAGGTGAACAAAAGGCTTAATTTTATGAACATGTAAGTTCATATCGTTTGTTCTATTTGATACAAACCAACCAATCACAAATATTTGGGAGCCAATTATAAATGTCAGATGATTCATAGATATTTCTGTTTGTTGAAATGTTTCAATACAATAAATCATTTAAGAATTTCTCAGAATCTTCCATCCGATCACCAAAACTAAACAAAACGGTTACATGAAGTTCCAATGATTTTCATGTCTGCTATAGATATAAAAAAGTTACTTGACACATTCGTTTTTTTCTTTGTTTGAATGAAGATAAAACTGTTTGAAACTCCCTGGCATGCATGGGTGAGAACTATCTGCAAATAGGAGGTTCCAGTTGTTTGACTTTGACAAACAAATGAAACAAACTCAAATAAGAATTTATCTTAAAAATCAATAAAGATTGTTCAAGCATTACGACACACAGACTTAGTGGTGCGAATGTATTTGAAAGCCACTAGGGATTTGGATTGATGCATTTCTACTACAAGGTGGAATAAATAAAGACCATTTCCTATCAGATAAAATGTTTTTCATATTGTTGGTTACTATTGAATAATTCGAAGCGAGATCTGAATTTAAAAGTCCGTTTTATCGAAAAATTGATTCTTTTTTAACACACTTTTATTAGCTTCACCTTTATGTATGTATGTTTGTATGTTCGTTTGTAACTCTCTTTGCTTGATCTATTAGCGAGCAGATGGCGCTGTTCGTAACCTCCTTGATATATCGACAATAATGCTTTATCTATTCGCTGATAGATGACCTCCTTGATATACTTCGATGATAGATAATCCTCATCCGTTTTCACTTGGTTCTTATTTCTTGTAGGGGCATTGCGAAAGCTGGGGAACCCAACAATATATCGCCTATGTCTCCTGGTGTTCTGTACATGGACAACTCTGTCCATAGCACGCTTCGACGAAAGCAGAAGAGGCTTGCTCGAGAGAATCCTGGACTTCTAGCCGCCATTGCTAAAGGTGCAAATATGGCAATACACGAGTGTCAGTACCAGTTCAAAAACTACAGGTGGAACTGCTCTACTAGAAACTTCTTGAGGGGGAAGAATCTGTTTGGAAAGATTGTTGAAAAAGGTGAGTGCAATTTGTATTCAACAAATATGAAATATATGTAAAGTATAGTAGTTGAATACGTAATCTTGTCAAACAAAGTAGGTAATTACAGATTTCAGTGTACAATATACTATGTGGCGATAAACACATTGGTGAGCTCATCAGTGATGATGAAGATATCGTCAATGATCACATAGAAAGTAATCTTTCAAAAGGAAAAATCGTTTACGGAAAATCAGTTGAATAATATAAGAAAATTTCACATACATTCCTTCCAAGTCATTCCAGAAATGATTATTTCTAACCAACACCACCATATGTGGCATATTCCTTGCCTTCAACAGATTGCCAAATATTTTTAGAAGATTCCATATGATTTGTTTTATTTGTAATTTCATTATGATTTTCAACGAAAATTTTTTAGGGTATCTTTGACATTCCAATGAAACTTCGTCTACGAACTCTATACAAGTGTATGGAGGTTAGAGGTTAGAAGATCCGTTTATTCTTCAAATATTGATGTAACTTTTTTCCTCAAGGATATGAGACTTATCGCGACCGTTCTCATTAACGAGCTTTCAAATAATTTCAGGGATTTAAGGTGTAACTTCAAATGAGACATCCTGAAATCCACAGGAAGGATAATGAAAGATTGGCAAATCGCTCAAGATAGCAAACCTATAATCCAATCACCAAGCTAGGAAGCTAATTATCATTGTGTATCTTGAAACAATGTTTGGATGCTATCCAAGTTTGTCCAATGTATAGGTTGAGTAACACCATTCATACTAAAGATAAACAGAATAACCTAAACTGAATTTTTTTTCAAAGTATAATACTTTGACTGAAAGGAAACGTATCATTCAAAAAATATCTCTAGACTTCGACTGATTTCATTTATTTAGAATAAATTATCCAGCCAATCAATTCCACACCGAACCGAAAGTGACACCTTCTTTTGTATCGAAAGCGGTCTCTACCTACCAGCATCTCCGAAAACCAGAAACCGATGACTGATCATTGATTAAAGACTCAAATTACCGATCAATTGGGACTAATAGCCTTAGCTTATAGATTACAGATCAGGTAAAAATAACAAATAGCTCCTTTAGTTCAGTAGATCTTTCGATAACAGAGTACCCGAAATATCACTTTACTTTTTTTTATTTCGCCCGATTCCCATATACCTGAATTTGTTTCCTCTAAATCGACTCGATTTTGATTCTGTCGTAGAAATTATTTTAATGAGTCTCTGACAAATTGATTTCTCCGACGGACCAGATTCTGTTATTAATAGGCCATTAACAAAATTAGAATAACGTGTTTCCCACTACATATTTAAGCCTTTATGGATGGATTGATATTTATTTGAATCGAATTCAGATCTTTCATCCAGTTAACGAATGGTAAAAAACACGATGTGGAGTGCGTGAATAACTAACCAAAGTTTCTGCTTTGAAACTTCTTCACGGAGGTTATAGAAAGAATGATCAAAAAGTCCTGATGTTTAGGAAATGAGAAACGGGACAGGGATCCCAAATGAAGAAACATTTTTTTACAACTACCCTTTCGAAGACTTTCAAAGGATTCTACTCCGTCAGGATATATGAATGAATATGCCAATTTATCTTTAGTCAGAAGCAGCGAATGCACTTGTAGTCCCTTTTCTACACACTGCGAAATGGTGGCGACTGAGAAAATAATTCCACGAATGATATGAAACACTATTATAGCTCAATCATTCTGCTTTCACTATTCATTCATTTCTGTCATACACTATGGAATCCAACAGAGGTTGGGAAATGAGTTGTACTTCACCAAACGATATCTGTATCTGTAGAGTAGAGAGGGTGAGTGTAAGTCCATAGCCCTTAGGCCACATGTGACCCATTGTAAATCCTCCCGAGGAGTTGTCCTCCTAGGTTTTCGTCCTGTCCTTTCCAGGAAGGTGGACAGGTCACTAGGAGACAGGCCAGATATAGGCTAAAACTCGCCGAACACACACTCTCTTATTGACGATAACTCCGGACACTCGCATAGGACCTGCCTGACAGTTTCATCTTCCTGTTGACACACCCTGCATAGAGGTGTGTCCATTAGCCCCATATTGAGGAGGTGTTTCCCCAGTGAGACAGTGACCAGTCAGAAATCCTACTGTTGAGCGTAGATTTTTCCTGGTCATCGCCAGATATTTCTTCGGCGCCAGCTTCCCAGGGTCGCCCAAGGTGATCCTTGCAAGGTTGCATCCTTTGATTCCATTCCATCTCTTTAAGGATTGAGCATGGGTGTAACTCTGGTTAGTTCCGCAATTGTCGAAGTCATGAGGCCGTAGATGCCACTGGGTCCTGAAATTCTTAGTTCAACCGCTTCCTTGGCTGAAGAGTCGGCAAGGCGATTACCTTTACTCCTGCCGTGTCCTTCAATCCACATCAGGCTAATGCTATTATCTACTGAGGCTTTGGCTAAATCTTGTTGACACTCTAGTACTAGCTCTGAGGTTACACATTGTCTGTTCAAGGCTAATAGAGCTTGTCTGCTCTCAGTGCAGATTGTTATGTTTCTGCCAGAAATTCCTTTCCTGGTTATTCCTTTTGTGGCGATTGAGATACCAGCCAGTTATGTTTGGACCACACTGGTATTTCCAAACCAAACAATATTTTTTCAAGGTGCAAAATAATTTACTGCAAAGGAAACTGCATCAATACTGTGGGATGGTGTTTAATCATCTATACTCTGTCAGTACTTGACATTTTAAAAATTTCAAACTCACAAATGCCGTATATGTACACACCACAGGTGTTAAAACGTAACTGACCACTTCGACACTGTAACAAAGAATTTCCGCCGATTGCAGTCAAATCTGATCGGCCATCGTAAGGAGGCTTGTTTATTCCACCCAATAGATGCAAATGTGCGTGAAGTTCATATTTGGATCACGCATCCATCATTGTTTGTGTTACTCTTTTTGTAGGATGGATATAATTTAGAGAAATCCTTCTGCTGAGGGAGACAAGCAGTCATTCCTGAAACCTCTTTCAGTACTGGTGGTGGAATCAACTTCTCCGCCCTAACGACCAGAGAGGAGAAAAAATTAATCACTTTTCATGGATGTGTATAGAGAATCTACATTGTACATTCATTATTTTGTATCTCTCTTGTATTCGAATATTTCGGTTGAATTAAATAGAACGTCAATTCAAATGACATAGAAAATAAATAGTTACTGAACGTCGGCAGTTTCTTTATACGGCATGAGCGGCATGATATAATTACAAAGTTCAATCTTCACTTTTATGTGAGAGGTTCCATCAACTAGTAAAATTATCAGACCCGGTACATTATTTTTCTATTTAGCTGGGAAAAGTTTGCGATATAAGTGAATATTCACCAATTTTCTGGGTTGAGTTGATATTCGAATATTTTCTTGTAATCTGAACGTAAAAGTTGTGCAACATTCCAAACTATCTTTTGAACAGATGGGAACCCAACTAGTTTCCAAAGAATCAACTATTCCGACGAAACAATATATTCCATCTGGAGGGTAATCATATGTCATATCATATGTAATCATAGTCTAATGAAATGTTATTTTCCCAGAGCATGGAAATACGCTAATATTATTCCTTTGCCTAAAAATCAGTACCCGATAGAATACGGTGATTTAAGATCTATTAGTATTTTGCCTACCTTCTCTAAAATTATCGAAAGAATAATGGAATCGCAAATTAGAATGTTTATGTCTGAAAACAATATTTTACCCATCAAACAATATACCTTTCAACCACATAACTAAAACGCATTTTCGTGTTTTCAACCCATATACGATAAATAACTGTGACGAACGAAATAACAAAGGAGAATGGAAAATGGAACATGGATTGGTCCAAAATGTCGATACAAATTTGATGAGATACTTAGGCAGAATGAGTTTCCTGGTAATTGGGAGTGCAGAAAATAATTTTCAAAACAGTTAATTGTTTTTCTATACTTGAACCTCTTTCCTGTTATGATCTGAATTTCACAATGCAGAGCTGAAAAAGTTCGGAAATTATCACCCACCCCCGCCCTGAGCAATTTCATCTGAAGCCATCCATCAAACTATGATGATACCCTCCAACAACATTCACTCAACAACATACTCGTGATTTCAATTTATCTCAGCTAATGCATAAGTGAATATTTGTTTGACAATGCGCATTCGTTAGACCTGCGGAATACAAAGAATAATTGGGTCCACTTCTAATTTACATGCCCACTAAACAGCATAACAAAGAATAGAGTTGTTCAACTGGCTAACATCTGGACATGCATGTCTCTTTTACTTGTACGACCCTTTGACAAATGACAAATATATTAACAGGATGAAAAAACAGTCCATTCACATTATTACCTCGTATATTGGGGTACTTATCACATCAAAGGGTTCGGATTTGTATACGAGAACGGGATAGTGGCGACTTGATAGAAAGAATAATGGTTTGGATATACGAATTGCATATACATTTTATTGGATACATTTTTGAATATAAACTATTTCACAAAACTGTAGAGTTCATATCTATCACTAGTAGGATTATGCAAAGCTTATCCACCAGACCCAAATGGACGGAAAGGAAGATAAGAACTGTGTCAACATTTTAAGAGAAGTTCGTTACTGGATTTTTGATTACAAGGTTACTATTTTTTGTAAATTTAAGACCGCTGTCGTGATTATAAGTTCAATTGTCAATAAGCAAGTTACAGAATGATTTGGTTTCTAGGAACTTGCCGCTTGTATCTCCATATGTGGAATATATAAATGACAAACTACTCTGTTATCTAGAAAAATAGATGAAAACCAAGTCAGTTCATTTTTATAGACCAGACCCATTGGCGAATACTTCTATATCTGTACCAACGTTGTACCAACGGTGTTTAGTTTTTTGCGTAATTCTTATATTTTTGGATGTGCTGAATTTGGGAATGACTTCCATTTTATCATTAAACGTTACGTTGCCTGACAATGTAGGTATCTATATATC